TTTATTTATTGCTACTGGGGATTGAACTCAGGACTTCCCACTTGCAAGGCAGGTGGCAGAACCACTGAACTAAATCCCTGGCTCTTTTATTCATTTTAAAAGAATTTGTAATTGTTTGTTGTAACATTTTATGATGCTCTCTTTAAAATTTTTGACAGATATTCTAACATCAGATTCAATATAGTGTTGTCATCAGTTGATTTTCTTTTCTCATTCAAGTTGTGTTTTTCCTAGTTCTTATGAGGGATTAGTTTCTTACTATGTCCTGGATAATTTGGCTATTACATTGTTTATTTGTTTTTTAAATATTAATATAGTACTATTCTGTTTAGGTTAGCACAGAGGTCCTGGCCTACTTTTGTGAATTTTAGTGACAATGATTGCAGTTTTAAAAGTTTGTGTGATGTTCTTTTTATTTTACTGGCATATTTCATTCCTCTGTGCTGTCAGTGGTCCTTGGTCATGCTGTTTGAGGGTGTAGGACAATCTTACCCATATCAGGCACCTTGTTAACTGTAGTTTGTTTTTTAGCATATCTGAAGAGTATCCCTGGCTTGGTACTTATGGCAGGATACCTTTTGTTGGTGTCTTTAGCCATGCAAAGTCTAACAGGTAGGGAGCAGAGGGTATAGAAATGAGAGGAGGAGGGCCGGGGATTTAGCTCAATGGTTTCGCCGCCGTCTGCGCAAGCGCAAGGACCGAAGTTCGATCCCGGTACCAAACAAACAAACAAACAAACAAAAAAAACAAAAAAACCCCAAAACAAATGAGAGGAGGAATCTTAGGAATATGAGAGCAGAAGTTTCTTGTTCTGGGCACTTAAATCCTACTGCTTGTTTGCATTAGAGCTGGTTATTGCAAGTAATATTGCTTTGTGAGAGTAAAAGCTTTTCTAATTCTCAAAGAGCCACAGATATGTTATTCTGTTTTGGCTTTCATAAGTTATATATCAGATGTAACAAATCTGGAAGACTAGAAGCAATATCTAAAAGTAACATTCTTACTTTACTGAATTTGGATAAACATACAGAAAACTACTTCATTTACATCTGAAGCAACAGTTTCTCTTTTCAGCTGCCTGTTATGAAGCCTATCCCTACCTTTTAAAAAGTTTTGCCCTCCTGTTAAACTTTAAGAAAAATTTAATATACTAATATTTTAACTGATGAGAATGTAAATTATATGTATCTTCCTTACTGTCATTAAAATCCTAACAATAGAAAAATATATATCATTAATAACACTGCTCCCTCAATATCAGGCATATATAAAACAATCCAGAAATACTATATAGAACAATTATTTCCTTTGTATATAAACAATAGCCTGTAGTGTTCTGAGAATGCCCCTTAGTTGGAGAAATGAGAATGTCTTTTTCACCTTATTCTTCATCTATACCTATTTGATTCCTCATCATACTGTGGACATCTTTGAAAAGATGAGCCATACTTTATTGGCTTATCCTGATCACCCAGAGAAGTGCTCTTAAATAGAAAACATTCAACTTATACTTCAGTGAATAAGTGAGAGCATTATGAATAAAATGATAAAATATTGAACTTTAGCAAAACCTTTACATAAGATAAAAGAGCGTTTTATTTCATAAAAATTATCACATTTAACAGCAATTCATTGTTTTAAATTTTTGTTTTTTTTGGTTCTGGGAATCGAACTCAGGACCTTGCACTTGCAAGGCAGGTGGTGGAACCACTGAGCTAAATCCCCAACCCTGTTTTAAATTTTTTATTAGTATGAGTTTGTAATCCATAATGGTTAATTCATCGTGGTATATTGATGCATATACACATCACATCTTGTTCCTTCTTGCTTCTCCTTCCCTTCATCTCCCTTTTCCACTCATCCCCAGAATCCCTTTTTTATCTCCATAAAGTCTATCTCCCTATCATCTTTCTTTTACTTTTCTTTTTAAATTATCTATGTTTTATGTTTCTCTTTTAAGACAAACCATGCAATATTTAACCTCCTGTATCTAATTTACTTCACTTAGTATAGTAGTATGGACTCAAGGTGCATCCATTTTCCTACAAATGACTCAAATTTATCCTTTTTTTCCCTTAAATTCTTTTATTGGTACATTTTAGGTATACAATATATTTACATTTATCCCTGGGAACTTGTATCTTTACATGATATATCTTGTTTCTTCTTTTTTCCCCATTCCCCTGCCCTCCTTTCAACCCATCCCTCCCTATTGACAAAGACTTTGTTTCCATTTTTTCCTTTTCTCATAATTTTTCCTTTCCCTTCTTTACTTTCCCCTACCCCTCCCACTTCCCCTGCCCCTTTAGGCCTTTTCTTCCTATTTCACATTATCAATTATTCATTTTAATCCTTATTTACACTTTCAGTTTCTCACACCAGAGAAACTATTCGGTATTTACACATGTGTGTCCTATTTATTTCACTTAA